AGCCTCATGCCCAATCTTCCCTCTTTTACAAGTCTTATTACTGGCTCACTGAGGTGAAGGAGTGCATTGGTGGCCGGGGATCGGACTGCGGACGAAATGCATGGTCGGCGAGCATTCTACCTCTGCGCCATCGATGCATCACCCTAGTTACTAGTGTCCAATAAAAGAACGAACATATTTGCAGACAGGATAATACGAGAGCTCGTTTTATTTAGCGGGTTCTCTCTCTGTTCAACTGAGTCGTTCATCTTAAATAAATCAATTACATGTTACAATATGGTGTATGAACATACTTTCTATTACAATGATTTGGAGTTATAGACAGAGAGTATAGGGGCAACATAATTTCAAAGATAATGTAAGTAGGTAGACAATTATTTAGTGTGTTAAAAGAGAGTAACTATTTTAATGAGTAATTAGACAAGTGAGGATGAGTAGAATTCACATTTCTCTTGGAAACAAGAATGGACTAGAGAGTTAATTAATACACATAATACTAGAGATTTCAGGTGGGTGGGGTGGGGTGAATAGTTAAATGAAATTATAGAATAATTTAATTAAGTAGATTTGGGACGTAGTAAGTGAGTACAACTCAGTCAGTGAGTGAGTGAAGACCGGAATCAAGATTGATTGGAATGTTATGTATGCAACAGAACAAAACACACAATTCACCTGCACTCGCAGCAGCAAGTACATAGGAAGGACTGAGAGGAGTGCTTCTACTAGATTCTTTGAGCAGATCCCTAAAAGTCTCCGTGTGAAAGGCAGAAAAGTGTTCTCAAACTTAATCAACAGACACCTCATTGACTGATATAGGGACATACAGTGGAAATTAGTACAGGCTTTCAAAATAATCAATCAATGCACAAAGAAAAGCATGGTTACTTCGGTTCGTAGAAGCCATTGCCATCAAAAGACTTCGACCCAATCTGTGCATACAGAAAGAGAGTGTGACTAATCTCTCACTACACTGGTAACCATAATTATTTTGTTCGTGTACTTTTGTCTTTTGTTCTGTTGCATACATAACATTCCAATCAATCTTGATTTGGATTTCCATTCACTCACTGACTGAGTTGTAGTCACTAATTACGTTCCAAATCTACTTAATTAAATTATTTTATAATTTCACTTTACTATTCACCCCCAACCTCCTGAACTCTCCACCATAATATGTATCAATTAACTCTGTTGTTTCATCTTCTATTTTGTCTCTAGTTCATCTTTGTTTCCAAGAGAAATCTGAATTCCATCCACCCCCTCTCACTTGTCTGATTACTCATTTAAATAGTTACTCTGTTTTAACACACTAAATAATTGTCTACCTACTTACATCATGTTTGAAATTATGTTGCCCCTAAACTTTCTATCTATAACTCCAAATCATTGTGATAGAAAGTATGTTGATACACCATTTTGTAACATAGAATTGATTTATTTAAGATGTACGACTCAACTGGACAGAGAGATAACTCACAAAATAAAACGAGCTCTCGTATTATCCTCTTTGCAAATGTATTCATTCTTCCGTTATTGAAAGTTATTTAACTTTTATTCTCCAATATTTCAGTATATAAAAACAAGAAAGTGCCGGAGAGTTATGCCATCCGGCAGTGTGAGACTACTATTCACTTGTATTTACAAGCTCCCCCACCTTGCACCCGGAAGGTCTTGGGTTTGAACTTCATTGGGTGCTTATTTTTGAAGAATCTCAAACTAGGAGGAAATAGGTGTCCAGGACTCCTGGTTATTTTAACGATTCTCTAACTGATGTCAGCTTCTGATGAACCCTGTGTTCAACTGTATGCACTTAGGTGGGTATATAGACGGATCCTAACCGGATAAGTACACATCAATAACCTTGAACCAACCAATTGGAGAAAATCAATGAAACCAGGCAAAGGAAACATCGCATTCGTCGAAAAAATGTTCCCAGAAGCGCAAAAATACCAAACACGGATACCTTCCTTTAAAATTTTGCAACAATGACTTCCAAATTCGCATAGGAGTGTTGAAATCCATCCAAGCGATTATCGTTCAGGGTAGGGAGCTACAGTCAAGGCTTACATTTGGTTTACGGTAGATTATAGCTAACTTACAGTCAGTGATTGGGAATTGTTAATTAGCATTTACCTTAATGCACATGATGCCTTGTGCCTTGTAACCAGAAGGTCAGCGGTTCGGACCTCGGTGGGTGCGTATTGATGAAGAGTCCCAAACTAGGACGAAACAGCTGTCCAGTACTCCCAGGTGGTTTTCCGATGGTTCTCTAACCGATGTCAGCTCATGATGAAATCCTATAAAACATCTTTCTCTTAGCTCCTGAACAGTATTCATCATTAATACAAGTACCTAACTCGATTTCTCTTTTCTCATCCAAATCGACCAGTTCAATGCAAATAGTTCACTTAAGATCATTTGTGCTCTTTGGTCGGCTGAGGTAATATAAGAGTTAACTTCACCGATTTATATTCAGTCCATTAATATATGTGTAAAACTTGGACACTGTGGTAGTGTGTAATTCCATATTAATTTAACGCCGAAAACTAAAATAACCCGAGTAGGATGATGTATGGTGTTGTTAAAGTTCATAAGTCAGGATATCCTATTAGACAGACCTATAGTTGATTTTAGAAATTCACCTACTTATGAATTGTCTAAATATTTAGCTATGATGTTAAATCCTCTTAAAAGCCACTCAAAATCTAGACTAACAAATTCTTATGAACTAAAACATAGATTAGATAGTGAGGAAAACAAATGGCCAGTTTTGACATATGACTGGGAGTGCAGGTATGCCTGACTTGCACAGTATTTAAATTCCTTCAAGGGAAAATATATAAAAAAAACTGAGGGAGTTGCCATGGGGTCACCAATATCTCCGATTGTGGTAGATATATTCATGGATAGGTGGGGAAACATAGCGATTGAAACCTTCAGCCCTACCGCAAACGTATGGTGGAGGTATGTAGATGACACATTCACTGTACTTAGAACACAGGAAATAAATAGATTTTTCGAATAGATTGAAAATCCCCATTGAGTCATATGAAAAAGAGAAGACATTCAGCGAAGAGACTCTTTTCGGCGAATTCATTCACATAGCTGTACAATCGCATTTATATATAAATATTTGTGTGTGTGTGTGTGTACATGAGGTTTGTCAAGTTTAGATAATTGATTAGTTAATACAAGAATGATGTAGTATAGAGACAAAGTTAATTCTTATACTACATCATTCTTGTATTAACTAATCAATTATCTAAACTTGACAAACCTCATGTACACACACACACACAAATATTTATATATAAATGCGATTGTACAGCTATGTGAATGAATTCGAAAGTTGTGAATGTCTTCTATTTTTCGAATACATCAACTCGAAGGTGGAAGCAACTCAATTCACTTATGAATTAGGAACTCAGGAAGGGGAGCTTCCAATTTCGGATTGTAGTATAAAAAGGAAAGAAGATGGGAGGTTAAACACTAGTGTTTACAGGAAACCCATACATTCAAACGGATATCTGGATTTCCGATCATCGCACTCTATCTCAGTAAAAATAGGATTGGTGAAATGTTTAAGTGACAATAAAGCACAAAAACTAAGTAGTACCAAGGAAAATCTAAGACAAGATGTGAGGCATATAAGAGAAGCTTTGAAACTTAATAATTACCCTGATCAATTAGTCAGAAAGTATGTAGGGAAATAAAAAATAAAATAAATAATGATAGTAGTGATAGTGATAATAACAATAATATTAATGACGACATGCATGTCAAACATGCGCAAGACAACACCAACAATAAGGAATCTAAATCATCAGTAGTAATTCCATACAAGGAAGGAACCTCGGAAACCTAAGGGAGAATTCTTAACAATGCTGGTTGGAATAAAAGTGGCTGGCATTCAAACCCACAAACTCAATTAGAAACAAGTTTTGTCGGTTAAAAGATCCTGTAGAGCCTTTAAAACAAAACAATTTAGTTTATCTAATACCCTGTCTGTGATGATTGTCAGGCCAATTTTATAGGTCAAACTAGTAGAACAGGGGCAGTCAGACTAGCAGAACATAAAAACCTAGCAGCAAACTCTAGATTAGTTGACCCGAACAAGATAAGAAATCTGGAGAACAGTTCAGCTATAGCACTCGCTACATGCAATTACACACAACCATAAAATAGGATGTAATGTAACAGGGTGGAGTGACAGATTGATAAAGGAAGCTTTGTTTATCGAATCAACTGACAGGGAATACGTGTAATAGGAATGATTCAACACTTGTCCACCCAGATATCTGGAAAATTCTACTACCCCTACGACGACGAATAGGAAAGAATAAAGAAAACCATAAAACTCAAGTTTCGAAGTTGTGTGATTATAATTGATATGATTACGAGCAATATATTTTGTTCGACACCTTGTCATCCAGTAAATACTACTGTTTCACTGTGTGATATATCTAATAAACAAACTAATATGGAAGTATATTCAGTCCAGCCAGGGTTTTCAATAAGTCTCTATTGAAATCTAACACTGAATAATAAACTTCAATTAATAGATTTTCGTTACGAACCAACCTCCAGTTAGAGAGATCATTGAAAACCAACCAGGGAGCACTCGACAGCCATTACATCCTGCACAGGGACTCTTCATCAGTGCGTACCCACCCACAATCAAACCAGGGATCAAAATCCCGGAACCTTCAGCCACTTGGGCTGGAATTCAATAACCCCATGAATTCCAACCTTTGTTAACTCGTGATGGTAGTAGCACTACCCTCACCAACGGGCTTCGATGAGAATCCACTTCGCTTCACACTTCACTTGACTCATGGTAGACCCCACTTGCCATGACTTTTCACTACGGATTCAGGAAATCTATGCAGTAGCCATCAGCAGGCTGGCTATTGATTGATATCCTGATTATAAAATTTGAATAATAATGAACGACAAACATCGAATGCGCTTCAATTACAACAGCAAAAAAAAGAACCTACCGCGCGTAAATTCCATGGATACATTGATAAGGAAGTGAGTGAATTCGACGTCATACCATTTCGACAACGAGTAGAACTTTTAGAACTGGAGGATGTTATTGGTCGACTTGGCAGAGATATACTAGTTGGATCATCACATGATAATATTTCAACATAGATTAAAAATGGTGCCTAAAATATAGTAAGAAAAGAAAGACGGCAATGAGATTTTTAAAAAAAATTAATTAAGAATCGATTGGAAGCAATTTCAAAAACAAGGAATGCATACCTGTGATCAAATGCTTAGGTATTTTATTCATTCGCTATCCACTAGTAATGATTCTATCATAGAAGCTGATAGTTAAACATAAGAGGTAACACTTGCTGTTTCAAATCAATTATCGGGAACAGATATTTCGTGTACCAGAAGCTAAGAATTACAGTTATTGTGTGAGTGCCGATGATACTAACCAGCAGCCACCTGGGATGAAGTAGGCAGAGGCGGGGTTCGAACCCACGATCTATTGAATGAAATTCGCCCTTATTTTTACTCTTCTGGAATGGGAAATAGGAGTTGGTATATTATGGGCACCCAGGGATTATTATTATTCGCTAGGGTTTCGAGTCGAACATAGAGCTTTAAGAGCACAACTCCGTTTGCCTTGTTCTCAGCAGTTCTCTTCCGCTGGCCCAGGCGATTCCTCATAAGCTTTGATCTCCTTCATGTAAACCTCGGACCAGCGCACAACTCGTCTCTTCTCCTCCCCCCCGGATTACGTCCGAGGGCCTGGCTCGCTGTCACTCAGCGTGTGTCTGATCTATTTCCATTTTCGCATGAAGAGATGCGCCACACAAAAAACGTATAGTTTGTGAGACGGCTGCGATACTGTCCGGATACCCAGACTGAAGAAGGTGGTTATGTTATGGAGCCTTTGACTTGAAGTTTGATTCAGTAGGAAGTAGAGCAGCAGCATCAGGAGCTAGGTTCTTATGGTTGACGGCGATAAAAAGAAACAGGTCCATACACCATTGGAGTCGTTTGAACTGTGGAGCCCATGTATACTACACGTTTGGAATCAGGTTTTCTCACCTCCTCTAGGTAGACCTGGATGTCTATCAGTCACGTCATAAGTGCCAGGCATCCCAATTCACCCATTTTTACTTTTGTGAAGGATATCCAACCACCCCATCTCTCCAAACTCGCATGAAGGTTGTGAAGAGAACTTATCTGGCTGGAAGAGGCTATAAAGGTGTGACCACATGAGAGATATTTCGATTGGAAGATCGAAGTTCACTCATCCACACGACCGTGCCAGGTCGTTATTTATGGGGGCTAAATTTGTGAACTATCCACAGAGTAATGCCAAGTTCAGTATCGCCTGTTTCCAATAGTCAGGACAAAAGCCACTAAAATATGTAATAAATTTGATGATGCTTCTTGCGATAACTAGACACTAAGAGAAGATTCACGCTAATAGTTGGAAACATCAAGTTATTGTTGTACTACTAAAAAAAAGTGCTAAACCCAACAGAAAGCAAATCTAGTCTGAGGAGTTGTGCAGATATACCTATCTATACACAACGGGTAAGCGATATTAACTAACAAATAGATTTTCAACTGATGCTTTGTAAGGAATCGACTGATTTTTTTATAAACACATAACACAGAGAAACATTCAAAGAAAGCAAGAAAGCATTGGAGAGCTGTTTTATTCCAGTTTGACGCTACTCAGCACTGAGTACCCATGAGACTTTAACAGGGACTTTAGATTAAGGGGCGAACGTGCTACCACTCAACCACTATATATATAACTTTCGTAAATTCGAACTAACTCGTAAGGTACGCTAGATATCTATCGCATCCGATCTGATTAGTCACCGTATGACAGCGAGCAAGGTGACGCAAACACCACAACGGTTGTTTCGTTCACTCACGGTCGAGCTAATAAGCAATGTAACTGGTTCAACTGACCTCATAGAGTCAAATCAATTCAAACCGTACAAATTTTAGTTATACTAATTGAAGTAGTACTTAGCCAATTATACAGTTCCAGGTGGAAATTCGCCAGAGTTTGCTTTGGAAATACAAAATATTCAGAACACAATACACGTTTAGATCACTTCAACTTAGTTGACGTAAGTAGTTACAAATTGTTGACAATTAGATGGTTGGAGGCAATCGGGGTGGGGGGAGTCTCGACTGACCAAAGTATCGTGCTAGTTGGCACTCACCAGTCAGCAAGGCGTATCTGCAACCTTGAAGGAACAACTCATGTCCCCCTTCTGAGATTCAAACCCATGTCACTCAGTGCTGCATTCAGAGATGTTACCACTGAACTATTCGGGTTCACGACTGATCTCCTGTTGGACTGTGTTGGATATTTTGATTGGACACCAATCGAAATGGTTACCCACTACTCATATCTACCAGTAGTATAGACCAACAAAGAACTAAACATGTTTTATTATTGATTACTACTTATGTTATCAGACAGTGGGTATTAAAAAACGAAACTGTGGTGAATTTTTACCTATGACTGTGTAGTTTGCATATTGATAACTCAGTAATCGCGTCAAATGTGCCAGAAAGAATCTCACAGTTTACATAATTACGATAGGAAGGACACTGTGGTATCATGCCGTAAAAATGGCTTACATAGACAAACACCGCCATATATATAGGACCGGAAATCAATAATGAGACAGTTCGAAACTGTTAAACCTAACACCGAAAAGAAAGCATAGACCCGTACTTGGTCCTGGCACACACACACTGGATATTAAGAAGAAACAGACAAACAGATATTAACTTTTTTGACTGTTGGTGATTAGCAGTTAAATCCAGCATGAGCTTTTCGTCCCATTTTGGGACTCGTCATCTGGATGATGTACCTACTTGCATTCCCTACCCCCCCCGCATCGGGTGGTGCTGTTTTCACTAAGACTCGAATCTTGCACCTGTCCTTTCAAACACCATCACAGTAACACTGGGAATGCAAATACATCATCCAGTTGACGAGTCACGACTGGGACGAAATGTGCATCCTGAATTCCATTGCATGTTAATCCTTAGACGCGTACATGTTCAAAGCATCCGTAATCTAGGAGCCGATATGTCGACACACCGAATGAGCAGCATTTCAGCCCAACATAATCAATGTGAACAGGGAGTGCAAAATTAACTTGAAGACAAACAAAATATAGACTTTAACCTTGGTAGAGTTTTAGTAACGAACTGTTTACATTAGAAATTAATTAAAGTATTGCATCATTTCATCGTTTTTTATGTATATTATATAACATACTAATGTAAATAACGACGTTAATTATTAGTTAATAATTGGTGTGTAAACAGAATGCAAAACGCACGAACTCTCTCTCTCTCTCTCTGACACACACACACACATACACACCTAAGCACACATTCACACACAGAAGTGAGTTAGAGGAGATATATATAGAGAGACAGAGGGTTGCGTGAAAGAAGGTGAGGAGGAAGAAACAAAGAAAAGAGTGCTAAAGAGTGATAAAGGAAGCATTAAATTGTAAGTTTGTGTGTGTGTGTGTGCGTTGAACATGTGACAACAATAGGCATTCGTTAATTACGCACTGTTCAGAAATCGCGGTAATTATCTATGTCGAAGAGCTTTACACACTCTAAGGAGTAAATTTATTTATGTACATTTTAAAATAAGACGTTAAGTTTATGGGGGAATAAATTTTATCCAATGCCTAGGGTGTGGGGTGGCTTGTGTTACACACACACACATGAACATAGTGATAAAAGTACAACAGAAAGGAGAGATGTAAATGAGAGAGGAACAGAACAGCCGGGATATTCAAATTACAGTCTTTCTGATTGCGATGAACTCGATCAAACGGTAGGATAGGGGGAGTTAGAAGATGAGCATACATTGGACCGTTAGAAAGTCCCTAAGAGATGTAGATTTCGTAGTTGATTTTTATGTTATGTTGCACAAATTTGAGGACTTACAGGCGAACACTAACAAGTCAGGATAAGAGGAGTAATGCCAACAGTGTCACGACAAAAGACAAGGGCCAGGCAGCAGATCGTTTATTGAGAAAATCAACAGATATTTACAGATTTTTATGTAGCAGGGTAGTAACGTCTTCTGATTGGTTGTTTTCCTGCTGAAAGTTATTCTGTCATGGTTTTGTGGCCGTTTCTTTGAAGGTCAGATCATATATCTGCGAATCGTATCCGCCCACGCAAAGTCTGCTGTGATTGGTTGTTGAGTTCTCCTCAAGGTTAGTTTTTGTTTTTGTTTCTTCTGATGATCAATTGTCACAATTGATATGATTATGAACAACAAATTTTGTTCGAAACGCCATCCAGTAAATAATAATGTTTCACTATGTGATATATCTAATAAACAAACTAATATGGAATTACCTACTACCACAGTGCCCAAGTTTTAAACATATATTAATAGGTTTAATATAGTTCGAATGCCTATTGCCTCAGCTGTGTGCGTGCAGTAGACCAATACGAAGTCTATCGGTGGAAAGATTCGGTGGGATACGATGAATTACTTTGAAGGCTCTCGTTTTCTCGATTACATGACCACTATCAACTAAATGTGACAAAATTGAGCTACGAATTGTTTTTGTCTATCCTTTGCCGAACCACAATGATGGGAGATGTTCACTAACACGTTGTCTAGAAGTAGTACGCCCAATATAACTGTCACCACAGGAGAGCAGTTGAATTGATAAATGCATATAGATGGGGGAAGACTGTCTAGCTTATCCTTCGTTTGCATCCCAATCATTCGTTGGCTAGAGAATGACAAACATAGGTGTGCTGCATAAAATGTTCTTCGTATACTCCTTGAAAGTCTTTGGAATATAGAATCTCACTTGATAAGTCGCCATTAAATTGTAACTTAATAAATAGAGGTTTCTATAATGTTTCACGAAAGTTCACCACCTGGTATCTAATTAATTTCGTTTCTCGTCTATACACTAACTACTTGTAATATATATATATATATATATATATATATATATATATTAACACGTATGACGAGTTGTTTCAAACCAGAAACCTTATTCAATGTGTCACATGCGCTTTGTCGCAGTACACGCACACATACAAATGGAAATAAACACAAACACTCATGCACGCACACACACACACACACGCAAACATACACAAATTAGAATGAGGA